ATTTTAATGCATATATTATATTTTAAAGCGATCAGAATATAAATAATCGCATTATTATTCTGATTGAAAAATATTCATATATCATTATAAATATATATATATATATATATATATATATATATATATATATATATAAATATATTTATAAATGAAACAATAAATAAAAAACTAAAAATATTTGATGCTATATACAAAAAAAACAGTTGAAAATTAACCAAAAAAAATAAACTACGAAATCCCAACAAATATTCTTAAATTCCTATAATTGGTAACAAAAGCCATTGGTTTATACCAACGGCTTCCCATACTTATATTTCTCGAATTCAGTCCGTGGTCATGTCGTCATGAGCTGCGGTGCGATTTTCGCTTCCAGCGTCTTTATATGCACGAGTTTGTCGTTGCTTGAAATTTCCATTTAAACAGAAACAGACTATCATCATTGTGTTGTCCGTGTATTGCTTAATATATTGTAATGTAATTGTCATCTTTGATAATGGCTTATGTAAGCCGAAAGCTTAGATAGGATTAAAAAATATGTATCAATATTGTGATTTTCTTTCTTCGTTTAATGATAATGTTATTAAGCTTATCAGACGATATGAAAAGAATTTGCGTAAAATAAATAGACAAAACTTGTCTTTATTATTTAATGAAACGTGTATCAATATATATATATATATATATATAATAAAATGTATCTTTATGCATTAGACATCCGACAACATTCATTTTCTTCTTACTTAAACCCTTATAACCTCTCCTAAAAATTCTCTCTGTTAAGATTCAATCTCCCTCCTCCTCATACTTACTTACATTCTCTCTAAATTCTGTTTTTATTTCCGGAGTTGTTTTTTTCTGTTTTCTTTTTTGAATTTGTAGGTCTGATGAATTGATCGTATTTACGATTCCAATGGAAATAAATTATGACCATGGAATATTAGTGTTTAAGCCTTTTTATTATATCCTTACTTTCTGTCCTAGACATTGAGTTCTACCTGGATTCTTCCTCTTGGAATTTTTTTCTTAAAATATACATGTATGGGTATTTATATATTTTGCATATGTATGTATATTTTAAAATATATATATATATATATATATATATATATATATATATATATATATATATATATATATATATATATATATATTTATAGGTAAAAGCAGGACAGACTGGGTTAGCCTTGGATGGCAGCTGGTCTAGAAAAGGACATCTCTGAATTCAAAACCTGTTTGGAGGGTTGTTTGGCGACCTCGTGGCACCTAATGCACCATGTCTCTGTATTTGGCCTTTCAAAAAAAGTGTATTTGGTTCTGCACAAAGCCTTCATCACAATCAAATCATATGTGGTGGTGTTGGGCTGTCGGTTCCTAGGAACTGAGCTGTTTGATCCTTATATGTCGAATTATAGACAGTCCACTATATATATATATATATATATATATATATATATATATATATATATATATATGGGATAACGAAAGATAATTTTTTTATATATCTGAGAGCAGTTCTATACTCTTGGAATTTTTATTCAAAAAAATATACATGTATGGGTATTTATATATTTTCATATATGTATATTTACTACTATTATTATATATCTATCCATTATCTTTTATCCATTATCTATTATATCTATCTATCATATATCATCCATTACAAAATCTATCTATATCTATATTCCATTATGATATCTATATCCATCCATCCATCATTTTATTTATCTATCTATCCATTATCTATCCATCATATATATATATTATCCATTTATAATCTATTAAAAATCCATATCCATCCATCCATGACATCCATCCATATATTATCCATATCCATCCATCCAATATGAATTCATTATCCATCCATCTATCCATCCATAAATATTTATCTATTATCATCCACCAGAAAATCCATCCATCCATCCATCCATCCATCCATCCATCCATATCCATCCATATAAACAAATATCCATCCACATCCATCCATATCCATCCATCCATACACATCCATATATATAATATATCCATTTACATCCAAATAATGATTATCATCCACAAAATCCATTCATCTATTATACTATTGGAATCATTTATCCATCATCCATATTAAATTAATCCGGACAAATAAAATATCCATTCATCCATCTATTATCATATCCATTTATATATGATTCATACATTGATATAGAAATATCCATCTATCCAATCAATTCAATCTATTATCTATAATATCATCTATCTATCTATTATCTATATATATATATATATATATATATATATATATGACCTTCCTCTTACATATTATTTTTTGATATTTTAATTCATTTTCTTTCTCACTCTTTCTCTGTAGTCTCAGTCTGAAATTTTGGATGACGTCGACTTGAAAACAGACGAGAAACGTAATGTGCAACGGATGGCTGCGGCAATTCTGGAAAACACTGAGGAACCGGAAGACATTACGTACACGCCGAGGCGGGCGTGGATACAAATGCCGACCACTGACAACCTGGTTAGGGAAATGGAGAAGAGACGAGAGCAATTTGGCTGGGAAGTGGACTTTCCGGATTTCAAGATGCCATTTGATAACAACATCTCTAAAAAGATTATTGAACTCTACAAAGAAACCTAAAAAAAAAAAAAAGTAAATAAATAAACAAACAAAAACAAAATGGTCGCAACAAAATAATCAGAGGGAAAAATAAATCTTTATTTCGGGTATCAATCTGCGTGTTTCGGGTATATCAGGTGTTTAAAAAAAACTGTATCATTTGAGACGTAAATATCTGAGTAAATACATACTCTAGGGTTCTCAACCAGGAGGGGGGAGTTCAGGATTTCAGGGCAGGAAGGGAAAAATCTTTTACTTTTTTCTTGTTTTCACACTATTTGGAACCAAGTGTTAAAAAAAAAAAAAAAAGATGGTATGATGAATCTTATATTCAATATGGATCCACATCCATCATCATCAATGAAGAAAAAAAAATGGCCTCAGCGTGTATTTTGTTGTAAAACGTTGTCAATTGATTCCTTGACAGTTGAAACAACATCTGCAGAATAATCAACCTTCAACACGAGAACGAGGACAAAATCTTTTTTTTTGAAACGTAGGGGAAATTCAAGAAGTTAATAATTCGTAAGGAATTAAACCAAATTGCTGTATATGTATTCAAATTTAAAATCCGTCAACATTTTCTATTGCTATTAAATTTGTAAAACTCTTATCTAAAAAAAATATTGCATGTAAATGTATATGTACTAATACGAAAAAGAATGAAGATTTTCAATAATATATGCATATTATTTAGAATGCATCTTTTGAGTCGGACAATCTTGGAAAAGTGGAGAATGATATTCGAAAAACTGATGAAAAGAGGTGTATTGGGCAAGATAGGGTTTAGAGGATGTCAGTTTTGTGACAATGTCTATCCGCATTCAGTCATGGGGCTAAAGTTGATGATGATGATGATGAGGAGGAGGAGGAGAATGCCGTATGGTGTGCCTTGACATTTCTTGTATTAGATCGAAAGCTGATATGTTAATTGTCTCGATATGTCTAAAAAAAGAGAATTTCAAAGAGCATTCCAAAATTTGGCGCAGATTGCGTAACGAAATGTATTTAGGTTTCAACTACAGAATCCAGAAAATTTAAATGGTTTTCCCATTAACATTTTATTGTGTTCTCATATCTATAAATGATGTAAATGAACATGTAATGGTATGAAAAGAAACAAATTTTTTAAACATCATATTATTTGGAAATCTTTGAAACATTTGACATTGTGAAAACTATTAAACATTGTGAAAAAACGAAAAATATCTATTCTAGGAAAATATAATAAAAACAGGCTTATTGTAGATGATAATGGATATGAAAAAAAAAAATCAAATTTTTTTAATATCTAGAATATATTATTTAGCAAAAAATGAATTTATGAAATACCTAGAAATAAACATTCTTTGAAATACCTAATTTTCCCCTAGAAAAAATCTAGAATTGATGAAATCTAGAATTTATGTTACCTAGAATTTATGGTACCTAATACTATGATAAAATTTAGGTACCTAGAATTTATGATATTCTAGAATTTATGGAAGGAATGGCGTTACCTTGAAGTTCAAAATTTATGGAATTTAGAAAAATGGTATCTAGAATTTATGATACCTAGAATTTATGAATTTACCTAGAATTTATGGTATTTAGAATTTATGGTACTAGAATTTATGTAATATTTTGGTTAAAGAATTTTGGCAATAGAATTTATAGAATTTATGGTACCTAGAATTTTTGGTAGAAGATAGATTTAATTTCTAGAATTTTTTTACCTAGAATTTATGGTATCTAGAATTTATGGTATCTAGAATTTATGATATCTAGAATTTATGGTACCTAGAATTTATGGTACCTAGAATTTATGAATTAAAACGTAGTATTAGATTAGCTGCTTGGTTTCTTGTGGAACTCTTTTCCGGCTTCTTGCTTCCCAATCAACTTTGATCTTCAAAAATTTAAATACAATGTCAATCGTTATCTCGATTCTTATTCTTTTATTGTCCACTTTTCTTAATAGTAGTTTTTTTCTCATATTCTCTAACACTCCGTAATCCCTTGCGTCCTAGCGGCTTTATTGTCTTACGTGGGGTGAAATGATGAAATAAAATCAAGAAATTCAAAGGTTCCTAAACGATTTTAACAATTTTTCAATATGCACTCCCGCCCGTGACACGGTGCTCATCAAATCGGTAGTCCAGCTTGTGCCAAAAACTCGCTGCAGCATGTCTTGGGTAACAGTCTCTAGAGCGTCAGTGATTCTCTACGTGAGATCCCCTAGGCTTGTAGGAAGCGTCGGGGGACATAGACCAGTCTCTTCGCATAGTCCCAGAGAGAAAGAGAGAGAGAAACATAAGCGATATTGGTGATAGTCCCGATCCTTCAGCTTCGTACAGACAGCCTTTCTCTTTTGTGCCATGTCCAAATCGCAGCACAGTCTTACGCTCCCATCAGCTTAAAACACCGGTTTCCCTACGATGGCCGAAGTTAAGCAACGTCGAGCCTGGCCAGTACCTAGATGGGTGACCGCTTGAGAATACCAGGTGCTGTGAGCTTGAATGTGCGGGCGGTGTAATGGATAATGGCTCAGAATTGTTAATCGGAGAGCTGAGATTCCGAATAAGCATCATACCCAGGTCATTATCTATATGGGGTGACCGCTTTGTGAATACCAGGGCAACATCCGGGCGGTGTAATGGATAAGGTCAGAATTGTACCTCGGAGAGCTGAGTGACCGATCACCGAAGAATACCATCATCCTGTAATCTTGAATACCAGGTGCGAACTTGAATGTGGGGTGGTGTAATGTATAATGGCTCAGAATTGTTAATCAGGGAACCGAGTTCCAGTTTCAACTGGGATCGTTATATTCATTCAACCGCAAATACTTTTGGGGAAGGTATGGATCCACCGCTTCTCCCCGTCTCTGGGTTAAATAGTAAAACTTTTATCACTAAATCATAATTATCTCCAAAAATAAAATGAAATTGCGTACAAAATACTTAGCTTTCAGCATTAAATAACCCATAATTAGTTAAACGAGTATCACTAAAGTATTATTATCACAAAATATTTAGATTTTGGTATAAAATAACCCATAGAGGTGTTGATATGCCGCTAAACAAAAACAACAAAAACCATGTCTTTGATTAAAAAGGGTTTTTTTCGTGTAATAATATCTTAAATAATACACAGCAATTAAAGCAAGAAAATACCTTTAAATGAAAAGTTATGCTGCTATTAATTTATATAGTGGTCCGAAAGTTTTGTCACCCTAACCCACATTTCCAAATTGTAGGAGATCGTGTCAGCCATCTGAAATATAAAATTATATTATGTATGGAGTGACAAGTCTTTTGGACCACCCTGTACATATAAACCCGTTTGTGAATTAAGCATAAAATGCAAATTGACTTCATTGTTTATAGAAAGTGATGCTATTTAAAAGTGCTGGAAAAGTAGCTAAACAAGAAAATAACACGAATTAATTTTGATTTTGCCGAAATCAATTTTTTTTTTCTTTGCTGGCCATTATCTAAAAAAAAAAAAAATTGCCCACAAAAGCTATCGGTATTGAATGTCCGACAGAGATTGATGTGCCGCTCAAACAAAACAACCAACCAACGATTTAACACAAAAATGCCTTTTTTCTTTTTCTGGCATTTGTATAGCTGATAAGAGAAGAAAATTAACTAACAAACATTATTTTTAGTTGTTTCGAAATATGCTATTAAAATTTGAAATCATTTGAATGATAATTGCTCAACAAATTTTTACATTACGAAATGATATGAATGTTTCTGAAACTCTTTGCATATTGAAAAGAAAAGAAAGAAAAAACGTTAACAAAATAATTGTTGCATGGCCCCAGATATTTTTCTTTACTTAAATTTCGCTTAATATAATTTACAGTTATTTTTATACGTACCCTGTTATTAACTATGGATGTTTTGTTTTAATATTTCCATATTTTTTAATAACCTCGTCTGAATTAAACAAGAATTGATATCAAACTTAAAAAAAAAAAAAGTTCTTGGATAAGATCATGCCTTAGAACAGGGGTTTTCAAACTCTTTGACTTGCGGCTTTACCTTAGGGACCCCCTTATAAACGCTTATGAAATTTATACATAAATATTTGCTGAATATAACATATAATTTTGCATTAATGCAAACGCCTAACAGCCAATGAGAAAGCCGGAAATCGCAAAATAGATCCAAAATTCAAATCCTTTGGTTCCTTCTCTGCATGAATAGAATCCATTATCTTTATCAATTTAAGATACAAATTATATTAGTATATCAAATCTATGAAATAGTTTATTGAATCAATTTGTTTCATGATTGGCCTATAAGTTACTTATAAGCGCTTATAAGTTGCACGTCACCCATAAAAAAGTCTTTGCTGTCCACGGACCCCCTATCTTGTCATTGAGGACACCCTGTGGTCCGCCGACCACAGTTTGAAAACCCCTGCCTTAGATTATATGAGTTGCTTAAAATTTCAATCTTTATTATTCATATAACATCTTCAAAACTTGACTGTGAGTCTGCGGTTGGTGGAACGGTTATCGGCGCGGAAAATGAAATCGGACTGGCCGAGTTCAAATTCCACCTGAGACTGTCACGCGCAATTCTCCTCACAGCTATGGGTAAAACAGTAAAGTAAATTTGGTTTATTTGCGTCAGTAAC